AGAGTGTGTGTTTTTGTATGTTTTGTGTAAATAAATATAAATAGTGTTAATGTTTATTTATTGCTTTTTCGTTCAATATAAATGCGCACACACAACAACTATCAATTTTCGCAGTTTTGGCCTTAAGGTGGTAATATGTATAGAATATGTTAACTAAAATATATGTGATTATGATGTAAGTGACAACAACAGTAACAAAAAGTAGCAATCAATAAACCGCAATTCAATGCATTATTGACATATATTTACATAAATACACTTAAACACACGTACGCACATATGCCCTTACACACAAGCACAAGCAAACACATACACACGCTAGCAAAGGCATACCTATATATATATATATATATATATATATATATATTGTTAGGAATACCGAAAAGCTGTATACCTTTCCAGAATCCCAGTTTCCGAGTATATGACCCGCAATCTTTCGTAGAGTTCAACCCTTTCCGCAAAAAAAAAAAGAAAAAAAAACGATTTTACTTTAACACGATTGTCACCGTATCGTCGTCAATCAAAGATGGTCGCTCCGAACGTGGCATTTATCAGAAATGTCGTAACCATCTTTTGAATGTTCGTTTCCGCAGCTTCTACCTAACTCCATCAAACACTTCCATTACATTTTTAGTTGTATCTTTGCGTATATCTTCCTCGCAATAGCCCTGTGTACGTACACCATCTTGCCTCACTTAATACTAACATGAATCATTTTCGTTTTAATTCATTTGCTATAGGTCGGTATGTGTACATTCAAGCAGAACGGACAGAACTTTCCGGTAGACCTATTACATACATATACATGCATGCATACATACATACATACATATATACATACATTTGATATATGCATGCTACATCTACATGTAGATATGGGCCCACATAAGTTCCGAATATATATATATATATATATACATGTATATATGTACATGTTATAAAGATATATGTGTGATATCACATACACTTTCACATCAATAAACCCATTCAAAACAAATCCATATCACACATCACAACACATCGCTTCGCATCACATCTCATCTCATCTCATCTCATCTCATCCATTCAACTATCCAACTATCTATCTTTTCTTTGTATTTGAATGGAAGCATTCAACCGTGGCATGTGTATAGATTTGATTTTTTACATGAAATATTTTCACAAGGTGTTCCAAAATGAATATGAGCATAAGAGAATTTCACTTTTTTTTTTTT